AAAAAATAATATATTTTTACTTACGATTTTTATATCCATACGCGGTGGCGGATTTAGTATGGTCCCGGTGTTGCACCGACAACACCTGTTTTTTCTGTTCGCAGTGGAAAACTTTTCGCTTTATTTTTTACGTTTATACCTATTTTCCATGTATCGGCAACACCTATTTCATCTCGGCAACACCTACTATGTATTACCGCGTCTTCCCCTGTCCATACATTTTTTATGAATGCATGTATGTATGTTTTTTTTATAAAATCGTTAGTAAAAATATATTACATTTTAACGAGAGTAATCTTAATGAAAGTTGTAGTAGACTCAAAAAATGAACACGTGGATAAAGATCCTTAAAATCTAATATCGTATGAAGAAGTTACGAAGTTCAAAATACAAGACCTAAGCCAAACCACAAGACTTACGCAACCAAACAGTCGAGATCGCATTGGACATAAGCATCAACAACCCCAAGCACATCATCAATGATTGTTTCACGTAAGATGTCGTGAAAAAAACCTAAAGAAATCATTCATAAGTACTGAATGAGTACAAAAAAATGACTTATTTTGAAACAAAAAAATGTTAAGGACTAAATATGTACAAAAATATTAGGGACTAAATGTGTACAAAATGAAAAATATATTACCCTGTCAAGTCATTTTTCCCGGCTAACCTGGAGTAACAGGTCATAAGGCCTGAATGTGTGCAGTTTAACAAGTTTAAGGGATAAATGTGGACGAAAAAAAAAACTCAGTGACCAAATGTGTACAAATCGAATAATATGTTACCCTTTTAAGTCATTATCCCTAATATGAAATTTGTAACACATTTTGCACATTATATCTATTCTAAAATCAAAGTGGGTGGAGACGTTTCTACTTTGTATCTATTTCATTTTCCATTTACTTTTGTAAAATGATACTTTTCACCCCTATATTTTATAAAAATGTCATTTTACCTCCTCAATATTGAACTTTATAAAATGTCTTTTTTATCTTCTCCATTTTCCACATTTTACTTTTTAAAATGTCGATTTTACCCTTTCAAACATTAAACTTTGTAAAATGTCACATTCACCGTCTCTATTTTCTAAACTTTTGTATTTACCCATCGTAGTATACATAATTTGATTCTTCTACAGTTACCATCCCTCCACTTTATAAAATGTCACTTTGACTCAATCAGCTTCTTTAAGTTTTTTTTTAAAAAACTAATTTATTATGTGTTTATTTTTATGTATGTATCGGTATAAATTCAAGGTGATCAACATTTCGACGTAAATTTAGAGCTTTCGTTCGTAATTTAAAAAAAAAACTTATTTTTTATATACGTTTCGGTATAAATTTTGATTTGTCTACGTTTCGATGTAATTTTTTTATGGAATCGTACTTTTTTTAAGCATTTTGTTTAGCATAACTTCAGTCCGTGACTTATGTTCTATTGTTATTGAAAGAGTTTTTCTTTTTAAATCAATTATTGTCGTCACAATGCACGGCGGATAAAATCTTATTTCTATAGAAATATGAAGTATGTAATTTTATGGATAAAAATATAATTATGTTGTTATTATAAGTAAATATATGGAAGTATATTTCTATTGTGGGTATATATTACAATTTTTAACTTGCATATTATTATTATTTGTAAAGTCGTTAAGTATGATGATATTATTATGGAGGAACGTAGAACATTTTGCATATGTTTATAATAAACATCTAATATGTTTCAATTCTCCACAATTTGCATTAAATGAAAAGGGAGATTATAAGAAATAGCAATATACTTTGTCTTTTTTTTTTTACTTATATGGATAATATGCTTTAAAATTATACATGTGGTTTTTTTCTGTTTGACCAACCAATCAGTCAAATAAAGGCTTGAGTGAAATAGATGTATTTTTTACTTTTTACTTGTTAAATAAAAATGTCTTTGAGGATACGGGCTTATTTTAACTTTACACATTTCTTGTATCTTCTTCTTCTTGCTCTTTATACATTTATATCATGTTGGAATATAGAGCCAAGTTTTAGTGGCATACTTTCTTGAAGCATTTTTTTCTTGTTGGTATATATTTTCATACATACACACACATTGGCACAACAAATTGGTATCAGAGTCTGAAGAAGATGGTTTCAATCGAACCATGATTGTTTTGAAGGAATCTTGGCTACATTTCTTCTTAGAATTGAACAAGAGATGAAGGTGTACATTGCATGACGACCCAATTGCGTTTTCACAAGGAAATTTTGATAAATATAAAGGCACAAAAGGTTGGAAACACAAAATTTTGGTGTGTTTTTTGGGTATTTTCGTATTCAAAAACAGGTAACAAATGTCATTTTCATTTCATTTGTTTATTTGAAATTTTCTTTGAGTTTAGGTTTGTGAATCGAAAAAAAAGGATCATTCTACAAAGAAAGTTTGAATTGAGGTGGAGTTTTAAAGAATGCACACAATAAATTCGATAAAATTTCTCGTACATTGTTCTTGAGGTTCAAGAACAGAGGTGTTGATGTGTTTTCGAAGTGGGTGCGTAAGGAAGTTGTTTGGTGAAAATTAGTGTCAATCTTAATTGATTTTCTTGCATAGAAATTGCTCCCCACGAGGTACTTGAGAAGTTTTAGAAAAATCATTTTAGTTTAAGGGTGAGCAAAAAGCAAAGTACAAACCGATCATGTGGTTTTTTATTTTGTAAAAATCGAGTTTACAATGTGGCTCGGTTTGCATTATATATTGCATTGCATATCAAAACCCGTTCCGTATGATCTTTTAAATGTTTAAACATTTCATATTACATATTTAATATTTATAAAATATATTACTCTTTTATGTTTTCTTTCAATTACATTTGACTAAAAAGAAGCCAATAAACGGGATTTAATTTTCAACTCCAAGTCCCTACCGAAATTTAATATCAAAACTTACAAAATGTATGTTTGGCCACCAAAATATTATTTTAAATTGTCTCAAATATGTTTTGGTCATATTTTCACATTTTCTAATTGTTTAGCCACTAACTCGCTACTAAGCCGCTTTACTTTGTTCGACTTATTATAAGCCAAAAGATATATGACTAGTCCACCGATTTGCAATTTTAAAACCACCCTAATGTAAAAATGCACAAATATTGTGGTTTATAAACTGAACCAAACCATGAAGAAACCAACCCACTGCTTAAACCACAAACCAAACCAAACACAAAAACTGCATCATGCAATTTTATCAAGCTAAAATCGATTCATGTGGTTTTTGTTAAAACCACATTAAACCCTATCACATTTACCCCTATTACTTGGTCTAAAAGGGGGAATGAAGTTCAAGGTCTTAGCTAAAAGTCCAAATATTATGAAATTGCTCATTAGTAAGTAGAACAAGTGTCCAAAGAACAAATAAAAGATGTCAAGCGCCAATGTTACGAATGAGGGTTCAAATTTGGAGGAGTTGGTACTAACCGTAACCGATTGTGGCTTTAAAGGATCGATGGTTGGGTCTTAGATTCAGGTTGTTCATTCTATATGTTCCTAATAAATATTTGGTGTTGGTTGGATCTTAGATTCAAGTGGTTCATTCCATGTGTTCCGAAACAAAATGTGGCTTGACATGTATCAAAAGTTGGGTACCGAAAGTGTGTTGATGGAGGACTATGCGCATTACAAAGTGGTCGGCATTGTATATTCATATTCAAATGAGTGATGGAGCATTGAGGATTCGTATAGGCGTTCAACACGTTGGTAGGCTAAAAGGAACTTGATATTGTTGGTTGTTTTGAACTCAAAAAGGTTTGAGCACTTGGGTTCTAGAGGCGTGCTTAGGGTTTGTAAAGACACCTTATTGTAATGAAAGGAAGGTCAGTAGAATCTTCCGTTTACATGTAAATCACATTGGACTTGGTTGCAGTTTCAGGGTCCAAAATATTAGTTTGTATAGGGCTCGATTGACAAAGTCACTGAGAGGCTTCTCTAGGTAGGTTGGAGAAGATGGAGGGTGTCTCCAAAGAGGCGGAGGTTGTGATGGTGAATGGTAATTAAGATGAAAAGTAATTCGTACACAATAATTTTTTTCCATACATAACAATACAATTTATGTTTTATAGATTTATACAATACAATGCTTAAATGTCCAAATTGTTGTGTATGAAAAAAAATTGTTATGTACGAATCAGCTCTCGAAAAGAGCGAATTGTTCAATAATTGGATGTGTGGGTTGACTTAATTGTAAGTCAAGGTGGAGATTTGAATTACCAATTAGTCAAATAAAAGGTTGAGTGAAATAGGGGTAATTTTGAGTTTTCAAATGTTAAAAAAAATGTCTCCCTTTACGCAATAAATGGATGTACGTATCATGTCGCTATATATTAGCGTTTACATCACGTTGGAATAAAGATACATACTTTCTTGAAGCATTTTCTTCTTGGTTTCTATCTCACAAACACAAACTTGGCAAAACAATACCCATCACAATATGTTTATAATTATTTATTTATGTAATACAAAAATTTTCTTTTCAGTCATTTCTATTACAACATTACATCTCCAATTTTTTTTCTTATTAAATCATTATACTTTGAAAAAGCTATTAGATATTAGCATTGTACTTGGAACAATTTTTTTCCCCTATTTAACACATTATACTCTAAAGTAGAAAGCCCCTAAATTAACATGACATTTACAAAATTACCACAACATCAATAAAAAAATAAATCATGTCAACCAAACAGTAATGAAGATAAGTAACCAAAAACTGCAATAACAAGTGAGAGCATAAAAAGAACCATAATTCTACCATTAATAAGAGCCAAGAAACCGGCATTTTTTTAGCATAATTTGAAACAATGTTATAGTAACCTCAAACATCTAAATGCTCCGAAAAACTGGGTATCATGATTCATGACCCGAAAATTCATGGATTAACAGAGGTACAAATTACCATTTTAACCTCTGCAAAGGGCCACAGACATATATATACAAGTTAAAAAAAACCAGACAAGTCTTTCAGTTTTCAGTTTACCTGATAGTGACAAACTTGTTTGTGCCATGTTTTGCCCAATGTGCCCTTAGGTCAATTGCATTAGCAAAGTTATAGCTTTCAGATCCAAGTTTCTCCAACACTTTCTTGAATGCCCCTTGACTCATCTTCCTCCCTGCAATTCTAGCTCCCCTGCGTTTTGTGCTCATTGGTAGTGGATACATGGATATGGTGGTGGTGCAACAAGCTGATTGCCACCCACCTGCACCCCATCTGTAACACTGTTGTGGGACCCCTGTACACGAACAAACAGGTATAGGAATCCCAGATATATCCATGTCTATTCCATTTATCACCACATCCATATTCCTCTTGATTGATTTTGACCTTTGATTCCCTGTTTCTTTTGGTATAGAAGCTGCTTTCTTTGGTTTCTTAGCTCTTGGTTGTTTTGGAGTAGCACTCACTGTGGCTCCCGCTCCTCTTTTCTTTACAGAACTTCCGCCACCACCACCACCAGTGTCACTGCCGCCAGGTGGTGCTTGGAGGTCTTCAAGATTCATTCCGAGTTCTTTTGTGGAATCGGGTGGTGGAATAGGCGGCATCATGTGCATTGATTGGGAGGTTGAAGTATCGGGGATGATTGAGAAACTAGGGTTTCCTGGAAGCATATGGAGGAGTCTTTCTCTTTGGATCCAACCATCTCTCATGTAGTGAAGTGGGATTTGGTGGCTCAGATGGGATTGAAGAGCGATGATATGGTGTCATGTTTGGGTTCATTATGATTGGGTTTTCACGTGAAGAGAGGAAGGGTTTTGTGTCTCTATGGTCGACTATTGGAGACATTAGTTGTAAACCGAGGTGTTCTTTGAATGAAGGTTCGTAATATCCCCAATTCCGCATGTTTAATCCATCATCATCCATGTGAACTACAAAAAACACCATACAAATCATATGTTTTGTGTTATTCAAGATAAGATCATAATGCCGTAGATACACAAATATTAAAAGGAATAGGCAAATCAGAGACAAAATGAGGCGGCGTGGTGTTCCGATTATTAAAAGAAAAGTAATTTTCGTTCAGATTCAGTGTGAACATGGCGATTCAATCGATACAAAACCTAATTGCATCAACGAAGAACAGTTCAGTAATCAAATCGCACCATAGGAAGATGAAAACAGCAAAGAGATTTATAAAAATCAGATTCACATCGGAATGAGTCAAATTATCGAATTAAACCCGGATTCGACAACAAAAGCCCCGATTTAAGCTTCTCGTAACTAGATCTAACATAAACGGTGATGAAACAAACAGATCCTGTATAAAATTTGAGATCCACAAAAGATGTTTGATAAAAATGCAAAAAGTAACGCATCCAGAGCCAAATACATTCAAACATATAGAAAAGGCAACGGATCGGAGATTAAAAATAGGAAAAAGAACAGATCTTGCGATGAAATTTTGGTATTGGTTGTATAAACAAGAATCGGTTTGTCGGTGGCTTCCATAAAGTACAATATACACACATATATAACAAAGGGCAAACATTCTTTTGACAATATAGGGAGAGAGAAATGTAACAGTTTGTGTAAGAGAGAGAGAGAGAGAGAGAGAGAGAGAGAACTTACTTGTGTGTGGGCAAACAGGTCTTTTAGGGTTTTGCCTTCTGGAGAGAGAAGAGAGAGGAGAGAGGAGAGAGAAAGAGATGTAAGAGAGTGAGGGCTTGAATTTGAGTTTGTATTTGTATTGTCGAATTTAACATCAAATAAAACAAATCTAACCGAGAGAGATATCTCTTTATTCTCATCGTAGCAGGTCACACCAAACCCTAATCCTAACTCAACTACCTCTTTTGTTTAAATTTGGATTAATTTTAAGTTTATATGATTTTGTAAGTGTTTAATATTAGAGATATTCGTAAAAATACCATATATTTTTATATAATTATGTAATGTAATTTATAAGAATGGCCACCTTATGTGGTGTGGGTTATTTTGGACATGAATACTAATGGGGTTATACTAAGTTATGTCTTCTTTTTTAAATAAACTAGACAAAATTCTATAGATGGTCCTTACGTTTTTTCGTTTGTCTCTAAAATAGTCTATATGAAATATTTTTTGTATGAATGGTTTCTACGAAGCAAACCTTAAACACAAATGGTCTTTATTGTGGATGTCCGTTAGATAAATTCGTTAAGTTTAAAGAATTTTGGATAAGGATCATTTCTACCATTTTTTGAAACTTATATAAGGACCATTTGTGAAATTGTAAATAAGTTTATTAAATCTTGTATTAATTACCATAAATCAAATAAAAAGACAAAAAAAACTAAAATATAGAAAATATAATATTTATGTAAATAAAAAAGTTAAAAACTTATAAATTTTAATCATCATACAAATATATTTTATTTAATATATAAATATTTTTTGTTGTGTAGACTTTATCTAAAATATTCAAACTACAATGTATTATTAAATATTTTCGTTTTCTATTTTTTATCTAAAAATATTTGAAGTATAAAAACATCATTTTACTACTTTTTAATTTTTACATGATGTAATTCTTACGATCTATCTTTATTCTCTTATATAGATTGTTGAAGCATTAAGTGACCCTCGGCAGCTAAAATGATTATTAAGTTGATGCAAAGAGTTGTTTGCTTTTGATACGGCGAAGAGTTTATGAAGACCGGAGATATTGAAGACTTAGCGAAGATTTGTTGATGATTTGACTTTTTGTAGAAGCGATGAGTTAGTACAGTGATCAACTTTTTATGACATTGTGCGTTTGGTTGAGTCTGTTAGTTTAGGTGTGGCAAGCATGGCTGCTTATCCTCTTGCTTTTTGTATTGACCAATTAAAAACTTGTACCTTTTATGACTATAAATATATGACCATGAATCATCAATCTAATGTGTGTTTCAATCCTATCTTCCTTGTAATTTTCACGGTATTGAGATAAAAGTCTCTTTTATCTCCATTATCTTCTCATACTTTGTTGTTCATCATTTACTAACTAGTGTTTGCATGCAAACCTAGTTATGATTCAATAAGTATACTTTAACTTGCTTATTTTTAATTTGTATGTTGTTGTTATGTTTCCATTACTCATTCTGTAATCTTATTATTGTTGAGCTAGTTAAAGATCCATGAGATTAACTTAATATTTTGCACCATAATCTCTATCATAAGTTCTTCTCTCAACAATTGGTATCAGATGCACAGTGGTTGCTTTTAATATTCTTTGAAAAAAACAGCATAATCTTTTTCTTAAAGAAACTCTTATTTAAAAGGTATTCTATGCCACTTAGCTCATCTTTTTCAAAATCATGGAAAATGGGACAACTTTACTCTTTAAATGTATCTAACAGTGTTGGAGGTTCAAATCGAGCTCCAATACTTGTTGTAAATGAGTATCATCATTGGTCTCAAAGAATGGAGAGATATCTAACAAGACTTGGAAATGAAGTATGGAAATCTGTAGAAGAAGGATCACATTTATATGTGCTTACACCCATTGTCATTGATGGAGTTCAAGTCAGACTTGGAGGTGGTCAAGTCGTTATGTCCAGACCCACCAACGCTGATATAGACAAGATGGAGAAAGATGAAATTGCTTTCTATGAAATATCTTGTGGTGTGGCGCCTGACAGTTTTGATCTCATCATCATCTGTAAACCAGCAAATGAAATATGAGATGTCCTCAAGAATCTCTATGAAGGAACTGAACAAGCTCAAGACAAGAAGCTAACCACAACCCTAAATGATTTCAATAGCGTTAAAGCTCTCTATTGGAGAAAGTCTTGATGACTTTTTCAAAAGGTTCGATCTCATCGTAACCAAACTCTCAAACGCAGGTATTACTCGAAGTGGTCATGACACAAACTTGCATCGTCGCCTGCTTCATCAAGGATCATCCGGAATGCTCTTGCCTTTGGCTTCGGCGGCACATTAGGCTTTGAAGTCTCATTCTTCTTCGGATAGTCCCTAACAATATGCCCTTCTTCATTACATTTGTAACACACCTTCTTGTTGGATGTACATTTATTGGCGTAACGACCAGTTCTCCCACACTTGAAAAAGGACAACTCTTCGCCGAATTTCCCAGAGTGTTTCTTCCTGCACTTCTTGCACCACTTTACCCCATTGATATCCCAAGACCTTTTGTCACTGGGACCAGACTTGAAAATCTGCTTTTTATCGAACCTTGAAGATCCCTTAAACGTCCTTTTCTATCCTACATCCACTATCTCCAGACCCTTTTCTCTTAATTGGGTCTCCACGTTCTTGGTTACCTAGATGGCGGTCTATAAAGTGGTTGCTTGTTTGACCATTGGACCAAAGTCCCCTGGCAATCCATTAGCCAACTTGTTGACCATGGAGAATTCGGTTGGAACCATGTAAGGAACAAGCTTCATTTTATCTGTAAAACTTTCGGCATACTCGTTAACACTCATTTATTCCTTCTTCAGGTTCTGGAATTCGTTATTAATCTCCAGAAGATCCTGCTCAGAGTAGTACTGCATTTTTAGTTGCACCAAAAAGTCTTCCCAAGACATATTGCTAGTTTCTCCTTTGGGCATGGTATCAGCCAATAACTTCCACTAGCTTAATACTCTTGTCTTCAGTAATCTGACCGCCAGAACGGTCTTCTGCTTGTCTTCAATCCATGACTTTCACTGGTGTTGGGCTTCCAGAAAGACTCATTGTTTTCGATGCCATGAAGTCCTTATACTTGCATTCATATCCATTATCTCCTTCATTTGGTATGTTCCTTCTAACCACCCTTGGCTCAGCTTGGCCAACAGCCCGAATGTAGTTTCCCTTCTCAGACTGTTCTCCGTTCAACTTAAGTTGCACAATAGGTACCGTAGGTTTATCCCTATTCTGTTGAAGTAGACGCCTTGTCTCTTCCATCTGACGATCCAACATCATCTGCATCATTGCTTGTACTTGTAACATCCTGATGTCCAGGTACTTCTAACTCTTTCCATTTCATGATAATTGGTCAAGTGGTTGCAATCTTGCCGTTTAGACACGACGTGGTGGAGGCACCAACACGACGTGTCTAGACATTAAAAGGCACGTCTTTTGGCTGAGCAACACGACGTGTTTTCCCTCTGAATACGACATGTTGACCCTTGTGTGTGAAACCCTAATATTCCAGGTTTTTCCCCTATTTAAGGAATATGGGGGCTAGGGTTTGTCCACCCTCAGCCTCCATCTGCCCTCTCAAGCTCAGAAGAAACCCTAATATTTTCCTCTCCCATTTGTGAAGATATTTGGTGTTTTGAAGGAAGAAGGAAGCAAAGATTCAGCTAGCAACCGTCATACTTCAGTGTAACACTCTCCTGGACCATTGTAAGTGTCCAAGTCCCGATTTTTACTATTCATAGTCACTAGATCTTGAGTTATTTCCCATATTCTCTTTGTTATGGGTTGATGCGTGGAGGGATCTCATAAAGTTTGCAACTTTATAAATCTCCAGGTCAAGGAGACCTTGTAGTGGCTTGGATATGGTTTCAACCAAAGTTTTGATGCCACACATAGAAAGTAGGTCATGAATTCCCTTTTTGACCTAATATGGGTTCAAGACATGCATTGGACATGCATGTCTTGAAAAGCACCAATCTTTTGGATGGTTTAGGTGGTTGAACCACTTCTGGAAGGAAGGGACTTTGGATCTTAAGGATTGAGGACTTTATGGTTAAGCCCTTGCATGGTTAAGCATGTAGTTTGGAATTTTGGATCTTTTTGCGTCCCCAAAGGATAAAGATGGAAACTTTATCCTTCCTAATAGCATTCCTAGTCCAGATCTGAGCCTTGGAGCTCTTGGGGTCGAAAAGGCAGCTGAATATCTAAAGTTGTTGGGAATCTGGCGAACACAGCGTGTTGGATGAAGTTTTCCCGTCTGTAGAATTATTCGCGGAACCTGGAGTGGTCAAAAGGGAACACGACGTGTTGGGTCAATCTAGACTATTGATCTTGACCGTTGACTTTGACTTTGACCAAGTTTGACCTTGAAGGTATTTTGGGTATTCTGGGTTTTGATGGAATTGGTCATTTGATGGTTGTAGGCATTGAGTTGAGAGCTGAGATTCGGATTCGGACCTTATTAGTTTTGTGCTGCTTGTGAGGTGAATGTTCCTGATTATTGCATGATTGAGTATCGTAATGATCTGTTAGATTTGTATCCTGTTAGATAAGATGATGTTATGCTTAGTGATATGTAAGATCTGTCTGTTTGTTATTGGCTGGTTAATTGTATCGTTATCTGTTATATATATATATATATATATATATATATATATATATATATATATATGTGTGTGTGTGTGTGTGTGTGTTGTCATGGTGTATGAGTGGTTGGGTTAAGGCGGACCTGCTTTGTGCTGAAGGCCAACAAACCCAGGGCGTCCCAGATAGACTGAAGGCCAGTAAGGCGTATCAGTCAGGCCCAAGGCCCGGAGAACGGTCCAGAGGGGCTGAAGGCCCGATGTGGCGTACCAGTCATGCTGAAGGTTTTGTGAGCGTACCAGGTAGACTGTAGGCCGATGGGGCGTTCCAGTCAGACTGAAGGCTTTGTATGTGTGTTGTTCATTGTCATTATTTTGGTTTTGTTAAGATTTGCGCCTCCTCCTGTTTTGTTTATGGTTTTGGGAAAAACTATGATGTTTGACATGTTTTAGAAAAGCTATTTTGTAAACAAGTGAAGATTTGGTATTGTTTTTAAAGTTTTAAATTTTTGTATAATTTTGGATATTACAAGTTGGTATCAGAGCCTTGGTTTGAGTGAATTGGAGGAACACTCGTGTGAATCCAGCCTCAAACTAAGGGAAAAGATTTTTTTTAAATGGTTTTTTTTTTCAAATAGTTTTAAAAATAATCGATGAGGATGTGATGTGTACGATTAGTCGGAGCCAGT